GGTGGCAGGGGTGGTGGGCACAATTCAATTCATAGTAGCTAAGTCTTTGAAAATCAGGTGTGCATTTTATACTTGCAGTGCATCTCAGTTCAGACTAAACACATTTCAAATGAGCAATAACTACAAGTAGATTCTCACTACTGTCTAAGTACAGGTCTCGATGAACGGTTGCCAGCATTCCGAGCAACACTGAAATTGAGAACTCCAGAGCTAAAGCCAAGAGGCAAATCTTTAGGTAGAAGGCAGTTACTCAAGGAAGAAAAGTGGCCAATGGCCAGCACCACCAGAAACCAAGGTTCACCTGGTGGCAGGCAGGGAAACTGATGACACACTGCTTAAGGGAAAATCATTAGTCTTAAGAACCCAATTGTCAGTATCCAAAGTTTGTTGAAAAATTAAAGGACCCCTAGCCAGCCGAGGCATAATTAAACAGCTTTCTTTTTTGTTGCCTAGGGTAGAGTGACATTATTTCATTCCTTTTTATGGCTGAGTAGTACTCCATGGTGTGTGTGTGTGTGTGTGTGTGTGTGTGTGTGTGTGTACACATTTTTTTTTTCCGCTCATCAATTAATGGCACTTAGGTTGGTTCCACATCTTTGCAATTGTTCAACATGATTTTTTTTTTGAGACAGAGTCTTACTCTGTTCCCTGGGCTAAAGTGCCGTGGCGTCAGCCTAGCTCACAGCAACCTCAAACTCCTGGGCTCAAGCGATCCTTCTGCCTCAGCCTCCCAAGTAGCTGGGACGACAAGCATGCGCCATCATGCCCGGCTAATTTTTTCTATATATTTTTAGTTGGCCAATTAATTTGTTTCTATTTTTAGTAGAGACAGGGTCTCACTCTTTGTCAGGATGGTTTTGAACTCCTGACCTTGAGCAATCCGCCCACCTCAGCCTCCCAGAGAGCCAGGATTACAGGCGTGAGCCATCGCACCCGGCCTGAACATCTTTCCTCAGCTAGGAAAACAGGAGCAAGATTCCTGGCTGCGACTCCCTACAAGGTGCATGCAGGCTCACCCCCTCTGGGCTCAGCCCACGGCAACTCCCAGGCTCCAGCCACAGGCACAGGCTCAGGACCCGGAGGGCTTCTCCCACGACCGGGCCGCTCTGGGGGAATTGGTTTGACTAACATTTCTTTCTCACTGGCAAGTGTAAACAACATATTAATAACAAACACACCAAACCGAGCCAAAACTGCAGGCAAAATGAAAACAAACAAAATAAGACGATAAAATAAGGAAACAAGGACTTAAAAAAATTCCCCTAATTTCCACAGGACAAAGACAAACAATGAAACAATAAATAAATAAATAACCTTCAAGAGGAAAGAATTCTTGTCCTTTTTAATATCAAACCACACCTGCAGCAAGAATACTGGTCGTACATATAACCGACAGATACCAAAAATCCAAAAGAATCAAGAAAAAAAAGTTTTAATTAATTAAGAATATTTTCAAGGCTCACTGAGCAGCTGATACATCCTGTAGAGAGTTTTCTACTTGCTTGGAAATTTTTAATTCTCCCTCTGGACTTTTATGGCTGTTTTATTCCTGGGGTATTAGCAGTAACTCTCAGGGACTCACTCAGACTTTGACCTGCCAGAGGCAGATTTGTAACTTTTGCTTTGGCAGCTCCAACCTCTCCCTCCTGGGCCTCCAGCTCGCCTCTCACACTTCTTAGCAGTCCCCACAGCTTTCTAGGTCCTTAGCCACTACCCTCCCAGAAGGGCAACGCAATAGGTACGTTTGCACACAAATGTTCATAGCCACAGTGGAACTGGTTCTTTTGCCTGCTCTGTTTCCCCTCTCTCCTGGTAACGGCTCTGCTCCCTCTGGAGCAGGGGTCCTCAAACTTGTTAAACAGGGGGCCAGTTCACTGTCCCTCAGACGGTTGGAGAGCCGTTGGAGAGTGCGGCGCACATTCCACACATGCGCACTGTGGGCCCGGGACCAATCGGTTGCTAAGCAGGACAGGCAGCGACGGCAAAACCACCCGGCAGGTGGATGAATGCCCTCGTCTGGCCGCATGTGGCCCGTGGCCATAGTTTGAGGACCCCTGCTCTGGAGAACCCCTCCTTCCTCACTCTCTGCCTGTGGCTGAGGCGGGGCAGACTCCACCCCCAGAATCCAGGGTGGGGCCGAGACTGGGTGCCCAAGACACATGTTCAACCTGTGGGCCACAGTCACAGGTGAGGAAAGGGCACGTGAGCAAAGTCATCTAGGTTCCCTCTAGGACTTCTCCAGAGGTTATGAATAAAGCACTGTTCTCCTTCCACGGGTTCTGCTGGGAGAATCATCTTGCCACCATTTGGAAACAAGACTGTCTAATTGAAGCAAGCAAAGAGAAAAACAGATTCAAGAAATGAGGGGAGTCGCCCTCTTGACATCCCTTCAGCACCTGGTTCCAATGATCCAGGTTTCTGATTAAGCCGTTTTGAATTGGGTTTTCTGTCACTTGCAGCCAAGAGGCTTCACAAATAGAGTATTGTACTAACAGTCTCTTAGGAATAGACAACCCTCCTCCCCATGATCTTGACTACCAGAAGAGGCCAGTGCCAACCACCAAGCAAGGGATCCCCAAGGGAAGGGATTTCAGGCACCTGCAATGAATTAATTAAGCTAATAGTTACTGGCATGAAGGTTTTCCAAAATCCATACAGGTTCTAAAAATATCACATAGGTGACAGCCTGCACTGTCTCTGGGTAAGGCCAATTTTGTTGTTTTGCCTTCTCAGTGTGTTAAGTTTTCCTTTAATTATTTGAGCCCAGACTGGAAAATATCTCAATAATTCAAATGCTTATCATTAGTACAGGCCAGGGCATACAACTGTGAGATGAAAAGCCCACACCTTTCTCCTGCTGAATTATCCTCCCAGCCATTGTAACTAACCTCCTTGGTTACAGCCTCACTGAACTATTCTTAGGCCAGTCACCTTTCCCTAATTTATCTACTCATTTTATTGTCCTGCTCAAAACTCTTTCATGGAATAAGAATAATATTTAAAGTTCTTAGCATTGCCATCTCCTCCATGAAGCCTTCCCAGACAGCCCCTCTCCCCACTGCAGGATTAATATTTGTGTGTGTGTAGAATGATGGGAATGTAGGTTGGTGCCAGTTTGTGGAGGTCAAGGCATTCTGTATACATCTTGAATGCTCTTGTCTCTTTCACAGGCAGGCATTTGGGATTCAAAGATGCATAAGACAAAGTCCATATTCTCAAGGAATTTATAATGTGGAACTAGGTGGAGAAATAATAGACACATAAATAGCCATCATTAATGACTGGCATATAAAATAATGGATCCACCAAGGAAGTATTAATCCTCTATTGTATTTTATAAAGTACCATATTTTGTTTCCCACAGTACACCGCATACAGAGCCTTGAAAGCAGTGGTACTTTATAAAATATAAAATAAAATTGAATTCTAAATGGTTATTAAATTGTAAGAACAGTTTTGGAGATGCAATAGAGTTAGCAATTGTTCTGGGTTTCTTTTCACTGAGCCCAAATTGTCCTTAAAATATACCCTATTTCTATCACATTGTATGTTCCACTGAGGGTTTCAAGTCACTCTGCTTCCTTCAGGCGTCGATCGATTCCTCCCCCAAATCCCGCAGGCTGCTCTATCCTGAGACCAAGGAGTAAAGGCCCCACTCTCCATGCTCAATGTCAGTGGGAACGACCTGGCTCGAGACCTCCGGGGCCTGAGACCAGCTCACAGCCACAGCCCTCTGGGAGCTTTCTCAGCAGCAAGCCCCGCTGAGACTCTGCTTCCTAAGTTCCTAAGTTTGCACTTTTTGTCCAGAACGCCAAACATTGGTAAACGTTTGCCTCAGATGCAAACTTGGAAATAAAGTGGACTTTTGCCTTTTCACAAAAACGTGAAAGGGACTTAACTAAGCTCAAAAGCTAGTAAGTAGTTCTGTTTCTTAAAGGATGAAACATCTAACACTTTGTGTGACTAATTCAACAATCTGGAATTTGCTTTGAAGGCTAAGCCATTCTTAATCATTTTAAATTGCTAAGCTGGAAAATAATACTCCAATGGTTAAGACATCTTCAAAGAAGCTCTACCATTGGACAGAGCTTTCATAAAACAGTTTAAGTATCTGCCAGCCTTCTCAATCTAGAAATACACACAATTCTTGATTATTCAAGAAACTATTATCTATTAATAATTTGTGGGTTTGCTGTTCTTTGGCTTCCTGTTCTTTCTCCATGCTTGCTTTCTCCCTTGGCAACCTCCTCTGGCAAAGGCTGAGTGGAACAGAGAATGAAAGTGAAAAATGAAATAAAATTTTAAAACGCAATATTACAGTCATCAGTTTCATCATGACATTAACTCTTTTTTGGCCCCTTTTCACTGAAAAAGTGAAACATCTCCTGCTGTGATGGTGCTGTCCCATCAGGACACACAATGTTCCCAACCTACTCTGCCGACTCCATGTCTCAGTAACTCCATTCCCAAAGGACAAATAGAGCATTCTGTCTTTTCTTAAAGTTGGCTTGGAAAGTGATTTGAACCCAGTAGTTAATCGAGGGCTATCAAGAATTCATGCTCTAGCTTTCCAGTGTATTGTTACCTTGGAAAATGGACCTACTCATTTTTAAAACACAGAAGTCCAATCATTTGCAAAGGAAAGTCAATGAGGAAGAACATAATGATAAAGTCAAATACCCGGCAACTTCTGCTTTAGTATTATTTTCTGAGAGCTGCCACCTGTATATGAGGCAGTTCTCAAAGTTTTTGGTCTCAGCATCCCTTTGTACTCTAAATATTTATAGAGGAACTCAAAGAGCTTTTGTTTACTGAGGTTATACCTATCTATATTTACCTTATTAGAAATGAAAAGAGGAATTTTTAAATTTGTATCTATTAAATCACTTAAAATAACTGCAACAAACCCATTACATATCAACACAAATAATTTAAATTTTATTTTTTAAAATGACTATTTTCCAAAACCAAAGAAAATTTACAGAGAAGAGTGTTATTGTTTTACATTTTTTTGCAAATCTTACATGATGCCTTTATTTAATGTCTGGCTTACTAGAAGACAGCTGGATTCTCATATCTGCATCTGCATTTAATCTGTTGCGATGTGTTGCTTTGGTTGAAGTAGCCGAAGAAAATCCGGCTCCACACAGACGTAGTTGGAAAAAGGCGCACCTCACAAATGCCCTGGAAGGCATTTTGAGAAACACTGGCCTGATGATATACGGATGCCTTTAATACAGTCATTGCATAATTCAAATCCAGGCTCTCGTGCTCTTCAGTAGCGCATCACTGGTGGGCTTTGGAGAAGGCGGTCTTGGGTTTGAAGGCTGTGCCCATCCCTTCTGGCTACATGCTCTTGGCGTGTGATGCTTCATCTCGTCTGCAAGTAGAGTTATTGAGAGGACTTAAGAATGCCTGACCCACAGTTGATATAGTAGGCACTTTGTGCCTATTTTCTTCCTTTTTCCCTTCCCCCTTTCAATTATTAATTTTGTGTCAACTTGACTGGACCCCAGATGTCCAGGATCTGGTTAGACATTATTCTGGGTGCGCCCATGAGGGTGTTTCTGGAACAGGGTTGCGTTTGAATTGGTGGACTGGCTAAAGCAGATTGCCTCCCCCATGCAGGTGGGCTTCATCCAATCCATGAGGGCCCAGATACAACAAAAAGGGAGAGAAAGACGGAACTGCCTGTGTGTGCTAGACTGCTGAGTCTGAGACACCAGTCTTCTCCTGCCCTTGGGCTGGGACTTACACCATCAGCACTACTGATTCTCAGGCCTTTGGACTAGAGCTGACTTTCCTGGGTCTCCAGCTTGGAGTCGGCAGATGGTAGGACTTCTCAGCGTCCATAATTGGCATGAGCCAATTTCTTATAACAAATTTCATTCTAGATATACCGATAGATAGATAGATAGATAGATAGATAGATAGATAGATAGATAGATAGATAGATGATAGATAGATCCTCTTGGTTCAGTTTCTCTGAAGAACCCTGACTAATACACCTATTTGACTTTTTTTCTCTGCTAATGGTCTTATTATAAACATGCCTCTTACCATGGCATTTGTTTTACAGCAGGCATTTGTGGTTTGCTGCCCACTTCTCCATGCCCTTTCCTTCTGGTTACAACTGGGAGGTTCGGGTGGCATTGTCTCCAGGGTTGGGCTCAGTTCCAGCAATAGACCATGACAGTCTTGCTTTAGTCAATATAGGCCATCTGCTTGGCAAAATGAGTCTTTCAAGAATAACATGAACCCAGAACCATGAACCCATGAACATGAACATGAATCCATGAAAGGTTACCAATTTCTTCTGGGCTTGATAGCGTAGGGACATGAGGCCTAGGTTGCTCCTGTGAACGGTGAAAGCAGCTGGTACCCACAGGAAACGCAGCTGAGGAGGGAATCCTCCGGGATTGGTTAGAGTTTTCAAGCAAATTGCACCCCAAATCAAAACTTCCGTAGGCTCCTTTTATGTGAGCCAACGCGTTCTGTTTCTGCTGAGTCTAGTTTAACATGGGTTTTCTATGATTTTCATCAGGCAGAGTCTTAAATGATACTTTCCAACACAAAATCCTTCCTGAATTGCTTCAGTAGCATCTCCTAAACTTAGTACCTCAGTGAACAAATTTGAACCACTACTAACACCCATACATGGAAAAGACGATGAGATGAAGTAGAGAGGATCTCATCTAATGACCTTGTTTGAACTGCTAGATTCATCTGAGCCTGCTACCCTACACTCTTCATTTTTGTGAGCCAATAAATTACTTTTATGTATGAGCCAATGAGAGTTCTTTTTTCTGTCACTTGTAACCAAAACATTATTCCTAACCAAGACATCAGCAATGGCAGGGACCCTTACATGGTAGGGAATGATTTGCACAACAATTAATGCCTCAAGCATTATGTAAAAGTACCCCTGAATCATTGTCTTAAAATCTTAACATTTGACTTTAGCATGGGTGCTTTACCTAAGGAAATGTTGAAAAAGAAATTGTTGTGCAGCCTGGCTTAATACAAAACCTACTGCCTTCCTTCCATATTTGCTTTGGCGGTTATCATACTACATTACAGGCAGGGAGCCTGATGATTTTGCAGACTCTAATACATATGTTGATATATCTTGCCTCTTTTCCAATTTTCTAGCGAGTCCCCTAAGAATTTCTTTTTCAAATGACTAAAATTTCCTGAGTGAAATTTGTTCTCTCGGCCTCACTGTAAGCAGGGATGCATTTAGAAAATTCTGATGCATGGAAGGTATTTTTGAAACTTATAATCTACCAAGAGAAAATATTCTACCACATTTCAGCTAAGCTACTCCCGCAGGGCTAGGATCAGCTAAATGCGGAGAATTGCCACTTTACATTTCCAACTTAAACTATTCTGCTTGGTCCTCAGCTTTAAGCATGTTTCCCAAAAATAAAGAAAAAAAGAAGCTCCTTAGGAGTACCTCCCGGTTCTCCCCAGTGTGGACAGCCTCCTGGCTTCAGCACAAACCTCATCTATAGAAATGGAGGTGGAGTTAGCCATAGTAATAGAGAATAGGGCCACGGAGATAAAGACTGAACTAGACACTGCATCTGAATTATTTGACTTGGCCCACAAATCACCCTTTCCAGGTAATTGCCAGTTTCCTGTTTCCTTTTGTACTACGCTTTATCAGGACGCCATACCACAACAAAGCTGATACTCTCTCCATTCCTGACACACCATCCTCCTGCCAACTGTGGGAAGATGCTGATTTTGTAGGGCCTGAAATGTATTCTATTTGGGATCACTCCTTCAGAATAGAAAATTAAAAATAAAATTTTGGGAGTGTCCTGATGCTTAAGTTTCTTTAGCTCCATGGAAAATCCATTGCTTCTCCTATCCAAAAAGGGGTGGGATTCTAAGGCATAGAGCACCTTGCCCATGTAGGTACTTCATAAATCCCTTTGATTGCCAAGAAACAGAGATTTCCCTACATTCCTATAAGTTCTTTCTGCTCTATCTTGGCTTTTGCATACAAGAAAAGAAGATGACTCTGCTTCTCTTGGAAACCAACAATTAGGAAATTCTCAAAGTCTGCAGCAAAATTCAAGAGAATTCTGGAATGTTCTATGTGAAAGAAACATTAACAACTAGATTATCAAAACTTTTTGTTTTCTAGATAAAGAAACAAAGCTAAAAGTGGGCCAAAAGCTGTGTGGTTGGCAGAATGTCTAGTCTAAAGCACTAGAATTCGGGAATTAACTCCAGAAGTGTATAGAAACCAGACCCCACCCACATGTCCCCCTGTTTTCTCTCCCTCTCAAGGCCCATCCCTGTCTTCTAATAATTACAACAAAAGAGTATCTTTGCTTACACATTTTGAGGAAATAATTTCTACAAATCTGCCCCCTGGGAGAGAAATAATAGTACTTAGAAGTCTTGTAACTGGCTGGAACATCTGCCTAGCCATTTGCTAGCTGTGTAAAGTTGGGATCCATTACCTAGCCATACTGATCCCTTTGTGTCTTCATCTGTGAAATAAAAATGGTGCACCTGCTTGGCATGGTTGCAGTTTGGGATGTCAAATATTCCCTGTGGTACCTCCCATTCAAAGTGCAGAGACCACACAAAGAATTCTGCCACGGGCCCCTTCCAAGGACCCCTGAATAAAAGAATGGAGTTACGAAAAGGAAACTACCTTAAAAGTGTAGTGAATAGGACAGTCACCAATAGAGGAGAGATTTCAACCAATTTCAACAGTTTCTGGACTATGGAATGTGGACGGGACAGGCAGACAGGAGAAACGTTCAGGAAGCCACTAGCTTTCCGGGAGGAGAAAAGGATTTGGGTGGAGTCTGTCCAGCAGCAGCTCAAACCCTAAAGAGGGCTCTGGGCTTGGAGCCAGCAGATTCTACTCCGGTGAGCATGAGAAGTGGGAGATTAGTAGGATTTCTCTGAACTCCACACATACACCAGCCCAAATACCCATCCTCCCCTCCTCTTTCCACCCTTGTTTTTCAGGGAGCAAGTTTTCTTTGGAGTAAAATACCAACGCTTCTGCAAAGCCACTGGGCAAAGTACTGAGCAAAGCCCATGCTTCTGCTCTGGGGACTGCCCATCATCCCCGAGTTAAGACTCTGCCGTGAGGGAAGTCTGCCAGCTGCCCAATGGATGTCACTGCATGTCCACACGCCGGAGGAAACCCAACAAACCACCCAAAGCTTTTTCCTTAAATGAAAACAACCACCAAGGACCACTAGGTCTAGAAAGAGTACACAACGGCGTGTGCACACACACACACACACACACACACACACACAAAGGACCAAGATAACTAAGCAAATAACTAATGCAGAAGGAACAGAACAAATTCCAAAAGTAGAAGAGACACTTTAAATAACCCAATCATTATAAAGAGAGATCTAAGAAGCTATTACATCTAGAAAGTAATGATAAGAATAATGGAATCATCAGAGAATAAGAAATAGAACTTTAGGGATTAAAAGTATAATTGCCTAAAAAGAAATTTAAGGTCTCTAAAATAAAGTTGAGGAACTCATCCAGAATGTATACATGATAAGACAAATTAGACAAGAGACTAGAAAAGTGATTCTAATGTAAGTCTGGAGAAACTACCGGCAGGAAAATAGAAACCTGAAATATGTTAATAGATCATAAATTGTATCAGGGGAGAAGAAATAAAGAAACACTGGGTCATCAAACTCTCAGATTGTTACCACGTACACGTATACAGTTGACCTTGGAACAACATTGGGGTTAGGGATCCCAAACCCCCACACAGCTGAAAATCCATATATAACTTTTGACTCCCCTGAAACTTCATTACTAATAGCATAGTGTTGACTGGAAGCCTCACCTATAACATAAACAGATGATTAACACATATTTTGTATATTGTATGTATTGTATACTGCATTCTTACAATAAAGTAAACTAGAGGGAAAATGTTAATAAAATCATAAGGAAGAGAAAATATATTTACTATTCATTAAATGGAAGTGGACGATGATAAAGGCCTTCATCCTCGTCACGTTCACGTTGAGCAGGCTGAGGAGGAGGAGGGAGAGGAGGGCTGGTCTTGCTGTCTCAGGGTGGCACAGATGGAAGAAAATCCACATCTCAGTGACCCTCGCAGTTCAAAGTCGTGTTGTTCAAGGGACAAGTGCAGCTCTAGACTGGTCCACCCTAGATGCCCTGTAACTGAAAGATCTAATATTGTTGTACATTTCCACTCTGGAAAGGTGATAGGACCAAGGGTGTCTCTTGGAGGCTTTGGGATTTCCACAACCTTTGTCATTCCCCTGAGCCTCCCCCAAATAAACATCCACCCAGCTCAAGTCAATATGATTTCTACCTGAAAGATGAATCCTCAATTTCTCGGTCCCTTTTCTAATTGAATTACCACTCCACGCTCCTTCCACGTAGAATTTCTGGACTCATGTGTGCTCTGAGCATCCCACACACACACCCCGCTGGCCTCAGTCCCCTTCGTGAGCTGTTTAAGGGACACGACTAGCCTGTCTCACTCCCCATTCAAACTTAACCATCTAAAACAGCTTATCTAACCTCTGTTCAATTTCCCTCCATGCAAAAAAAAAACAAAAAAAAAAAGCCAGTAGACAAATCTTCCTTAATCAGGAGCCAGCTTCCTCTACCTAGGGCTTACTTATAACAACAGTTACCTCTGTTAAGGGCTCGTTTTATGCTAGTCACTATGTGTTTGCCCTCCAGGTAGATATTATTATCCCCAATTTAAAAATGATAAAACTGAGGCTTCAGGAAGTTAAATAATTTGTCGAAGGACAAAAAGTTAGTAAGGGGAGGAACAAGAATCTTTGCCCAAGATTATCTGACTTCAAAGCATATGCTTTTTACATTTCACCGTAGCACTGCCCTAATAACCTATATTTGCATTATCCTTTATAAGTGTGTTTATATGTTAACCCAGTTTTATTGTTTTAACAACCTTATAAGTTATTAGCCCATTTTACAGGTGAGAATACTGAGGCCCGTGGAAGTTAATGATTTGCTGTGGGTCACATGATGCATTGAGCACTCACTGATGCTTATGACCACAAGCATCTGTTTTCATTCCATGTTTCTGCTCCATTTTTATCATTCAGCAAATATTATACCCTTACGGTACATCAAGGGTCACTACATGTGTGACTTTTTGGTTTCTTTTACTGATCATTTCATGGCCCAACTGTTTATCCTACCACTGGACGCCATCCTCAATCTGGTCACAATGCATATCCTAGGCACTCCTTTCTGAGACACTGTTTCTTCCATCTGTCCAAATTGTCCCCATTATGTCAGTGCCCATCTCAGATTAAGAATGAGCATTCATCTTTGCTATTCCTGATGGCCCATGGTATGTATCTTCCCTCCCACACACTGGGCATTTGTAGTCTTCAATCAGATCCCCTTCTCATGTTGACTTTTCCCCGGCGAAGGCTTTATGCTCTCCAACCTGTATACACCCTGTGACCTCAAGCGTGAAAACACATCTTGCTTTACACCTTCCCTGTGCCGAATACTTTGGGCCTACAAGATGCACACCCACTAGAAAACACTCAGCAAACCCTGAGCTGGGTTTACAGTTTTGGGGTTGTTGGTCTCCAAGTCAAGCGTCTCTCCTCCCCTATTATTCAACTTCTCCTGAAAGCTTGCCAGGTCCTCGTGACTGTCCTCTGAGTCATCCGCTCCTCTCCCCCACATTTTGCAGGCTTATTTTTTCCACTGACCTGGTGTTCTGATGTGCCCCGTGCATATTCCTCATTTGTCTTTACTTTCTGCTCTTTCACAAAGCAAAATGTGAGATGATCCATGCTTTCATTGGCAGAGTTCAATCTTGGGTTTTTCCCCCCTCCTAACAAAATCATTCATGTGGAGGAAGCTTTTGATCCAGGATCCAGATATTCAGTCGCTTTTTACATAACCAGAAACCATGCTAGGTGGTTATGTAAACTCTGGTTTTGACTTGAATAGCCAGACAACAGCCTTTACAATTTAGGTTAAAGCATGTTGTCAGCTTCCATTCATTTCTGACGGTCTGAGTGTCAACGCTATCCCACCAATAGTGCTGTCAAAGGACTCATGGGTGTGCCGGGGGAGAATATTTGGAGACAAAAAAGAAATATTTTCCAGACCAATTTCTGTAATGTGTTGTCATCATCCCATAAAACCCCTAAGAAGAGATCAAGTTTGTTCATACAGTTTAGAGAACAATGGCTAGAAAAAAGGTAACATAGACATCCCACAGGCAGCAAGGCGCGGGACTGACACTCAACGAAAGTGCCTTTGTTTACACTAAAATGTCCAGGTGAGTGGCCACTTCTTTAGACACCGATGAAGTAAGTGATTTTTTGTTGTGATACATAAACTTTTGTTTTGGCAAGGACTGCTTTCTAACACGCATTCCCTATTACCTAACAGTGAGAATGGGGGATATTTCTGGAAGGAAATGACAACTAGAGGAAGAAGCATGAAGACAACAAATGGAGAAACTGAGGAGCCAAAACAAAACTGACCTAAGTCACTCAGTATTGGTGAGCCACTGCAAGTTTCAAACCAAATTTCCTGTCTTTAGTTCTTGAGTACTTCAACTTGTCTTGTCCTAAGGACTTTAATATTACATCTCTGGCTTCTTTAAAGAACTTGATGCACAAAAGGACTTACTTAACCTCGTGTCAATAGGTTCTGCTGGGCATTGTAGCTCACACCTGTAATCCTAGATACTTGAAAGGCTGAAGTGGGAAGATCACTTAGACCAGGAATTCAAGACCAGCCTGAGCAACATAGCAAGACCTGGTCTCTACAAAAAATTAAAAAGTAAAAAATTAGCTAAGCACGGTGGCACATGCCCATAGTCCTAGCTACTCAGGAAGCTGAAGCAGGAGAATTGCTTGAGCCCAGGAATTTGAGGTTGCAGTGAGTTATGATGAAACCTTTCCACTCTAGCCTGGGCAATAGAGCAAGATATCTCAAAGAGCTAAAAATAGAAATACCATTTGATTCAGCAGTCCAACTAGTAGGCATCTGCACTCGAATGTTTATGGCAGCACAATTCACAATTGCAAAGATGTGAAACAACCCAAGTGCCCATCAATACATGAATGGATTAATAAAATGCAGCATATGTATGCCATGGAATACTACTCAAGCTCAAAAAACAGTGGTGAACCAGCACCTCTTATATTATACTAGATAGAGCTTGAGCCCATCCTTCAAAGTGAGGTATCCCAAGAACGGAAAAGCTAGCACCACATGTACTCACCATCAAATTGTTATTTACTAATCAACACTGAGGTGCTCACAAGGAAGTAATATTATTCATCGGGTACCAGTCAGGTGTGGGGGGGGGGGTGAGTAAACTCACAACTAGTGGATGCGGAGTGCACAGTAGGGGGAAGAGCACGCTTGTAACCCTGGCTTGGGCAAGGCAAAGGCATTATATGTAACCAGAATGTTTGTACCTCCATAATATTCTGAAATAAAAAAACAAAACAAAATGAAAAACTCAAAAAAAAATCCAGGTTTTCACCTGACACAGTTGGCACATCCACTTTTTTCCTAGAACCATGAGTATCACGTACCACAGTCCTGTGCACGGGACTTGACCACTGATCAAACCACCACGAGGGAGGCATGCCACATGGTGTCCGTCCTAATCTGACAATGCAGAGATCAGCGTGGCCTCCGTTATAGTTTGCCTACCCTGGGGACCACATGTGTCTAGGGTTTAGCGAGAGAAATCTATGGTTTTCCCACTTTGGGAGGACAAGGGAGCAAGTAAGCTGCCATCCTGAAGATTCTGCCTGGTAATCTGGACCTTTGAAAAATCCTTCATCCTGGTTAATGGAGTAAGTTCACTAATACTTCCTGGTCACTGTCACCTTAGTCAGTAAAAGTTACCTTCCAAAACTAAAAACTACCATTTCTTATAGCAATCACTGAAAAGCTGTTAAGAGCTAACAGTATAGAATTATGTCAAAAAAATCTTCTCATCTGAAGCTGTTAAATTTAAAAGTAATGGCAACATTTACAAAGCAAAACTGGATAGACTTAACAATAAAATATTTAAACTCCTTTACATCAAACCAAAAAAAGTAATAACTCTGCAAATGAGAAAAATATTAAGAGCTGCTATGTCAGAAACATGCTTAATGTTTCTACTATACAAAGAGTTTATGCAAGTCAATAAGGAAAACACTTAAACACCAATAAGTAAATTAAGGGTGGAAATAATTTTGCAAAAGAGAAAGTTAAGCAATAGTAAGCCTAAAAATTATCAGCTTCATAAGTTCTTAAAGAAGCTTAAATTAAAAACGTGAGCCATTTTCTCTTATCACATACCTATTTTTTTAATAATAATATTTAGTAAGGATTTGCTAAAACAAGGAATGCCATGTTTTTCTGGCCTGAAAACGTCTTATAGCAGCTTTGAGAAGAATTTTAGCAGAAATTATCAAGGACCTAAGAATCCTATTTCTACCCCAAGGAAATAACATAGAACATGGGTATGCGGTGGAGGAATATATATACATATTTACCAAAGTATTCTTTGAGAAAGGGGCAGATCATACAATTTAAAATAATTTTCTGATTATTTAAAAATAAAGACTAGTTAACACTTTTATAGCTGTTACTCTGTGCCTGAAACTGTCCTAATTTGTGTGATTAGATAATTTATCCTTATAAAAATCCTATTAGGTGGATGCACTATTATTATGCAATTTTACAGATGAGGAAACTAAGGCACAGGCAGGTTCAATAACTATTGAACTGTTTGCCCACAGTCAAACTGGCGTCAGGAACTCATTCTCAACTTCTAACCTACATTCCCTCTCTCATTACATAATATTTTCATTGAAGAAAACTTGAAATATACAGGTAAACATTTTTTAAAAATTTAAACTCACTCATAATAATTAGAGATAACCAGCAGTTAGTTCCTTACAGTCATTTTGACATGCATACAAAAAAATCCTGTTATAGGCTGGGCACGGTGGCTCATGCCTATAATCCTAGCACTCTGGGAGACTGAGGCAGGAGGATCGCCTGAGCCAGAAGTTTGAGGTTGCTGTGAGCTAGGCTGGCGCCCCAGCACTCTAGCCCGGGCAACAGAGTGAGACTCTGTCTCAAAAAAAAAATCCTATTATATAATTCCATCTCATGCTGCATTTATTCAACAAAAT